CAAGTCTCCTCGTTGCTGCCTCTGCTGGCTCCACTCTCCTTGCTCCTTCCCACAGCCTCATGTTCCTCACTGCAACCCTGGGCTCTGCCCTTCACAACTGCCTCTGCTGCTGTTTGGGGACTGTGTTATTATGGTTACCAAAGCTGTTTAGGATGTGGTTTGTGCAAGTGACACTGAACTGTGTTTTGCTCCACGGTGGTTTCACCATTTCCTTTCCCTCTTTCTGCCTAGGCTGTAATTCCTGCAGCTAAAGATTCTATTGCAGAGTCCTTTTTTGCCAGGAATGCCCACATGTTCTCCGTTTGAGAGCTGCTCTGGCATCTCGTTAGGGATTACTTTTCCATGCACTGCATGGTGGTCGTAGCCACTTGCTGCACTTTGAATATAGAACTGTGGTCAGAGCAGATGGTCACTGCTGCTTTTGAAGCCACGTAGGGCTTGTTTGACCATCTCTGGGGGTTGCACTTCCCTGTCTGCATCAGATCCTATGGGTCACCTCTGGGCCAAGACTATTCTGCCCTATCTCCCAGAAAATGTGTTTCAATGTCCTCAGCTTTGGATAAATAAGCCTCACAGCAGCCAAATCTCCAGCAGACAGTAAGAAGTCCCATCAGGAAATGGCTTCAATTGCTGCGTAGTCAAGGCCAGTTCAAGAAGAGGCTTGGAAGATTTTCCTACTGTTGTGCTTGAAGCTTCTGCTTCCCTTGATTTCTTAGGGGAAACAAAAAAAGTAAAACCCAGTTTCTGTGCGTGACCTGTGGAGACCCGGCGCATCCTGTGCTAGTGCTAGGAGCAGAGGAGGAAAGTAATTGCATTCAGCAGTTGGAAGGCGTGGGAGGCAGGATGGCTTTGTGCGGTGCTGGAGGACGCTCCGTACGCATCCCTCCTAAACAAATACCTCTTTAAACGTCTATTATGGGAATTCAGGGAACAGCTTTTTTTCTCCTCCTCTCCTGCAAGTAGGGAAGAGGCTTATTAGTGCTCTCCTTCCATAGGCGAGGTGCAGAGGCTGGGAAGTTGTGAGACGAGTAGCATTTGGTTTTATCAGTCAAATCTTCTCTCTCCTGGACAGTCACTTCATCCAGTAGGATGAGGAAACACAAGGTGCTGGCAGGAGTGTGACTTTCTATAGGAGGAAGCACATAACACCATTCACCACAGCTACAGAAATGACCTTTTTGTTGTTCATGTGTCAGTAGGAAAGAATTACTTCCATGATACCACTTGGTACATCCATGCTGGATATGTACTTGTTGAAGAAGATGTATTGTATGTCACTGATGTGCATGTCAGAGTAACTGTATTCTTTTAGACATGGTGTTATTTGCATGCTGGAAGAGCATTATAGGCTTGGGCAGTCAACTTAGGTATTTTTCCAAGGTGTATTTTGTTCACAGTCTCTGAGAATTCCCAGGGGGCTCCTGCTAAGTACAGGAGGGAACGGGAGGCTTCAAGGTAAGATGTGATGGAAGTGGTTTGGGCAGTCTCGGAGCTCCAGACAGATGGGGCTGAAAGAAAAATGGATGCTTCAAGCATCTACTCAGAGTCACAGAGCAAAGAAAAACAGATGAACTGAAGGTGCAGGGGTGTGAAACGGGAGTAGAGCTGACAGCCCCAGGCTGAGGGGCAAGGTTATATTATACACAGCTCTGTTGCAAGCAGCAACCTGGCCTTTGGTAAAAGACAGAGATTTGAGCAGGTCCACAGGTTTTCAATGGAGCTCAGCTGTGAGCAAGACAGAGCTGGCCAGTGTGAGAGTGGAGGATAAAACTGGTGCTTGCTAGGAAGAAGCCAGTGGCAGGGGTGACTGCAGCCCTGCTCTGAGGGCAGGGCAAGGTGCACCCTATGGGACAGCTGTAGCTGGGGATCAGGGGAGACTGCTCTGCTCAAGCACAGAAGGGTTTGCTGCCCTGAAGGGGAAGGACAGGCAGATATTCCAGTGTTCCATCTCATTGTTGCTGAAAGAGATGAATCTGTCATTATTTACTGCCATCTGTTAGACAGACAAGAATGGCAGCTGCTAACAAGGATGCGTTACATCTTCTAATATCTTTCATCCCCCAAAACTTGAGCCCCCAGGGGATTTACAAAGACAATGCAACCAATTTGGTGCTATAAGAAGAGTTACACCTCAGACTAGAATCAAACAGTGGAAATTTAGCTGTTCTTTGTAAGCTATTTGTATCTCTGGCAACACTACATTTAGATGAGTGTGTTTATGTGACTGCTAACAGCCAGTACAGCCCATACCCTCTCTTGAGAGGTCTGGCCTGGGTACATGGTTACAGGAGGGTTTGCATCATGTCCCTGTCTGTGACAAACCTCAGGTGGAATTCATCATATTTTTGCTTCAAAAAGAGATTTGTCTCTTTTTTGTCCCATATTTTAAAGGCTTGGGTACATATTCACTCACAGTAAGATTTAGAGGTGATTAAAGTGAGCTGGGAAGCAGATGTCTGACATCAGTGTAACACAAAATGCCTTCCAGGCACTTTTTCCCTTCCATGGTATTACCCTGATCTCACTCCACTGATCCCACTAAGATGAGTTTGTTGTTGGGGGAAATAGAAAATGCAGAGGGAGAAGCAGCAGTACAGTTTCTGCAGTTAAAAGTGTCCGGTCCTGCCAGTCAGGTCCAATGCAGTGTTTTGTGGCTCCTCTGCTCCCAGGTCTGGTGATGGCTGACAGGATGACCTTGTATGTGTCTCCTGGGTTCCTTGTGCCTCGGTTTCATCACTTATAAAATAAGGCTAATGTCTTGTCTGCAACGTGGTGTAACATCTAGTAATAAAAAATACTAGGAAGGAGCTTAGGTGTTATTACTATTTTATATCTACGGAGAATGCAGATACCAAAGCAAATGACAGGCGCAGCAGGTCACCTCGTCCCTTGATCAAAATGAGGGTGAGAGAGGGAAGGGAATTTCTTAATGGGAGCAGCCATCTGTCAGGCATGCAGAAGAAATTACTGAAGTGTGTTATCAATAGTTATCAAAACTTGCTGGAGCGGAAAGAGTTTTAAAATGCTAATGAGCTTTCACTTGTGGTTCCATGGCTGGGGCAGTTGGTTTCCTTTCTGCATGTCTCCAGGCTGAGCAATGACTTTGCATTGCCTTTCAGTCCCGGGTTCTGGGTCTCCTGTGCTTTTCTCAGTGTGGTTTCTGGAGAGGGTGAAGTCATCCTTGCTAAACTATTTCTCATGCTTATTGTTTTGCATTGTGTGAAGTGGGCTATTTTAACAAAACTCTACATTTTTACAATGCCAAGAAGTAGGAGCGTTGATTGCATTCCTGCCTCCATGTCCTAAGGATGTGCATTTCCATTTTATTGTCTTCTATTTTTACCTCATTTTTGGGGAGGAGGAAGGGCTGGAACACCCTTGGGACAGGCAGCGACCATCTCTGGGCTGCTGTGGTCGGGATGTGGAAGGAGGGACATGGTGCATGTCCCGGGCACCCTGGGGAGGTGGCACATAGCCCATGCCTGGCATGCACATGAGCTGCCCCAGCAGCCCCCAGGCAGCTGCAGAGACCCATTTGTGGAGAACCCCTCTGCTGCCTCTGGCTTTTTAAGGCTCATTTAAGCCCTAAAATAACAACTACTCCTCCCTGCTGAGGGAAACTGGCTGGGATTAGCCAAAGTCTCCCATTCCTGCTGTCTAGTGAAACAAGGACTTTCCCCTCTGTGTAAATAGGATGACACTGCCCCCCTCCCCTTCTCCCTCAAGGGGAGCGCTGTGATTCAGCACGCTGCTCCTGCCCTCTGACAGTTCCTGCACATGGTTTACAGCTCAGGGCACCCAAGACAGTGGGAGGCATATGCTAACCTAAGAAGACAGCAGATGGGTGCAGGCGCTTTTAAGAACAGCTGCTGGTGTCTCATTCGATGATCCCATTTTTAACAAATCCATGCAATAGCAGATACTGGAAATTAGGTTTTTCTGTCCCCTCTCATCTCCTGAGCCATACTTGACCTGTTCCACATGATCTAGGGATTAAAAGCTTGTTATTTTAGCTTCCCGACAGTAAAACTGAGCCTGGGCTCTGCCAGGCCATTGAGCTGCTGGCCCTTGGCTCTCACCCTCTTTCCACTTCTTGTGCGTCAGGATAGTTCACAGATGTGACTTCTGCTAAGGGTCATGGTGGTTTTTCCCAAGCACTGTGCACCATGGCATCAGCCCTGTGCGTTGGTTTGGGCATGTTTTGTAGCTCTGGTGCTCCTATGTCTCCATTCTTCAAACTATGAAAACTGCCTCAGAGAAGAGGCTCAGCAGCATCACCCCTGAGCAGCACAAGTGTGACCGGGAAGAAGGAGAAATCCCTTCCTCTTCTCTAATGGGGCTATAAACATGCTTTTACACCTGAGATCCAAAGGGAGAGAAACTGCGAGACAAATCTTGTCAATGCTGCACTTGGGGCTGTCAGCTGAGGTGTCCTTCGTCTCCATGGTATTGGTGTACTTCAAACTAATACCGAATTTGACAACACAACACTCCTGCTACCACCCTCAATTCCAAAGCAGGGAAGCTGTGTCACTGAGATGCAAAGTGGCTTATCCAAGGTCACCCTGTAAGTAAGTAGCATTGAGGGGGGAAAAAAGCCTCGGGTATATCGACTCTCAGTGTTTCCCAGTGCAGCTTGTGCCCTTTGGGAAGGTTTTGCCGATGCAAAGGTCTGTCCTGAGAATAAAGCTGGCATTGCCCAGCTGTGCCCTCCTGCTCTTTGAACCCCTTCTTTCTCCTGCGGCCAGTGGGACCCTCTTGGAAAGAGCCGTGCCCGTGTTTACCCGGAGCCCCGGCCCGCTCCCGCACCGCTGCCCGCTCCCGCACCGCTGCCCGCCGGCTCTCCCCGTATCTCCTCACCCCCGTTACCACCCCGCGCAGGGCGGAACGCGACGGAGCCTGGGCGGGCTCGGGGGACCCGCAGCCCCAGGCGTCCCGGAGAGGCACAGGATAGGAGAGGGCCTGGCTCCGCCGCGGGTGGGGCCGCGGGCGGTGCGGGGCGGAGCAGGGGGCGGTGCGGAGCGGCGGGGAGCAGAGCGGAGCGGGGAGGCGGGAGGCGGGCGCTGTCCATGGCCCTCGGACCGCCCCGGGCTCCGCCGCGCCGCCGAGCTGAGCGATGGGCAACACGGTGCACAAGACCCTGGCAGGTACCGGCGGGGCGCGGGGGGCTGCGGTGAGCGGCGGGGCGGGGGGTGCCTCTTGTCCCGGGAGAGGCCGGGGGCGAGCCGGAGGCAGGGACCCAGTGGGGTGTCTGTGCCGGCCCCGGGTCCGAGCCCCGCGCCCCTGGGTAGCGGCCCGGAATAAGCCGAGTGTTGTTAATTGCGACTGCTTGCAATGGTCCCCGCTGCGGCAGGCACCGGGGCGGTGATGCTGAAGCGGCGGGGCACAGCTTTGCCCATGTGAGAGCCACAAAAGCGGGCGAAGCGGAGCTGTTCCCGCAGCTGGAGCAGCGATCTCTCAGCCTTTCGGTCGGATCCTCTTAGGGGTTTTCTTTGCATTCCTCCTGCTTTTTCTTTTTTCCTTTTTTTCTTTTTTTTTTCCCTTCCTTTTTTGAAGTGACTTTTTAATATGGAAACGCGTTGGTTGATCAAGAGTCTCCAAAAGAAAACTGTTTGAAAGCAGGTCTGAAATGTTTGGTAGACCACCCTTGTTTTAAACTGCCTCTTTAGTGAATTCTGCCCTTACACAAGAGATGTACAGATTCTTTTCCTTTGCAAATTCACAGTTGTGAGGTTTTTTCCTCCTCAGAGAATCGGTGCATAATGAAAGCAGTTGGTCTCTATAGAATCAACAGTATTGAATTACTGCGCCCTTGCCAGTCTGTATCTTCAGCTAGTTTGCTTTTCTTTTCTGCTCTTGCAGAGCTCCTGCATTGCATCCTTTGTACTTTGGGTTCACATAAATAAAAAGGGTATTATTAAACTTACTTAAAGAAGCAGGAGGACCTATTGAATACACACACATGCTTCCCTGGAATCAGCCAGGGAACTGAATATAGAAATAAAGAGAGGAATAGATTTGCATTTGGATGTGCCATATATATTGTCTTTGCAAAGAGAGGGTGCTTGGGACCTTCAAGGCATAAAAGAAAGCTGCCAGGCTTGTGGTTTCACTGTGAAGCTGTGATTAGATTTCTAGCTGCATCTCCTTTCGTTCTCTATTACATTTAAATGGGAAATTAGCTCCTTTCACAATAAGGAAGTTTTAATTTTCTTAAATGCTTCACCAACAGGCAAATAAAGGCATTGTGAGGAGTGCATGACCTTGAAGAAAATTAATTTTGTGGATTGGCTTTTCAGCTGGAGACAACATCAAGGGGCACATGAAACATCTGAGGGAGCCAGGGATATATCCCTGGTTCAGGGGAGGTTACCTCAGTAAGGCTAGAACTTCCCAGAGGAAAAATCTTTGCCTGCTGGGATGTGGGATCTAGCTGTGAGCTCTGTTCCAGAAGGTTGAGAGTTGTATCAGCCATTCTGCCTCTTGCTAGAACAGTCTCCCCTGAGCAGCCTTCCCATGCACAGCCTTACACACGTGAAGTTAAAAAAAGGGATGACATCAGTTGCACTGCAGTTCTGTGATTAAAGAGTTCCTTGCGGTGCTTTCAAGGGAAGTTGTTAGAAAAGGGGGAAAGTTTGATGGAAAAAACTGAAGCCTTGATTTATGTAGCCCTCCCAGCTCAAACGTTGTGCTGGTGGCTTAGAAAATCCCCGTCCTGTCCTGCCAGGGAGAGACCGTCTCCAAGGATTGCTCTGCTGGGGACAGTCCACACACAGACATTTGTCAAATTGCACAAGGCAAAACCATGCAGGACACTTGCGCGCCGTTTGCTGATGTGCTGGAAGATGCTGAAAATGGGTCTTTTCCCCCAGATTTAGCTGTGTTCGGTTTTTCCAGGGTAATGACAGTCAAAAGAAGCTGCTAACCTGTGGCTGCAGAAGAGATTTTTGGATGGTTGCAAATTGAAAGTTTATAAATGTATTTTGTCAGGTTGGCCACAATTCAGCCATTTTTCTTATCGGTGTAATTGAATCAATCAGATCCATTGTTTGTCTTTCATTTTCCAAATGACATTACAGGTTTAGAACTGTTCTTGGAACAGTCCTTTTATAATGATAAAGTTTTTCTGGGAGACTGAATTGTTGGATGAAATCCTATTTATAAATGCATTGCCTGTTTCGAATTGCTCAAAGATAATTGGTCAGATAAAGTCTTTCCTCTACTTTGACCAAAAGGTACCTCTTTCTTCACCCTGGCAGACTGAGCAGTGCACTTTCATTTTAACTAATAGAGGAATTGTTCTCCACTGTCCCATGGGCTGAAGTGATTTATTAAACCCCCAAACAAACAGAACACCCCCAAACTAAAATTTGCCTACCTGTTGCGTTAAATCAACAGGTTTTGTTTTAACAATTAACAGATGAAAAGGTAAATCAACTGGAGGAGCCTACAGATGCTGTATCCCTTCTGTTGTTTCTTTCACCAGGAATAGCTCAAGGTGGAAAATGTCTTTCCATTCTGATTAAATGTAGAGAAAACATGGAGGGACCTTCATCATTTGGTTCCTAGAAAAGCCAAACAATCTGCAGTTCAGGTTTTATATAGAAATGGAAATACTCTTCTCAAATAGTGAAATTCAATTTAAAATCGTATTGAACACAGAGCAACTCATTTTTATACCTAAATTTGTTTGAATATTTTCTGTGCTTGTTGCATCTTTAAATCCTTGCACAGCCTCATCCTTTCTCTCCACAATTCCATGTAATGTTACAAGAGCACACGTATTCATGCCGGAGAAATTTGTATCGGGAGCTTGGGAAACTTGTGTTTGCCAAAAATCCGATGGTTAACACACAATGGATGAAACTGTCAAATTAACAGCGAGGTTTCTAACCAGAGTGGTATTGAAATGAGTAATAGGCTAGGGCTAATGAAAGGCAGCTTCTATATTTGAACCGGTTGAGGAGGCATTTGAATGGAAAAGAGCTGAGATGTGTCAGATACGCTTAACAACGGTCCTGAGGTGGTGGTGGAAATCGCTCTTGTCTAGATGACAGCTAAATGATGCACCACACATTCCTCCAGCAGGACGGGTGCCTCCCGTGGCTGGCCTGACCCCAGAGGGGTGAGCAGGACCTCCTCGCCTTCAGGCTCCACATGGTACCAGCCCTTCCGGCATCTCCAGTGGGAGAATCTCCCATTGCATCTCCAATGCAGTGTGGGAATTTATGCTTGGATGTCAGTATTTTCTTGTCTCCCTCCCCTTACCGCTGCCCATTGTTCGAGGTGATTTGCAGGCAGGTGGTTAAGCAAGAGTGAATTCTTTATTATTGAGGCATGCCATTTTTGTGTCTCCTACAGGTGATAAACTAGGTGTGCAGCATTGCAGGTGATGGGTGGAACTTGTCCAGACCTGCAGAGTGGGCTGGGAGGCCGCGTGGATATTGGTGGTGGATGGGTTGCATACCAACATCAGGCTTTGTGGCTGCTCTTATCTGTAGTGCTCTTGAGTTAACTCAGTGGTGAGCAAGGCAGCAAACAGCACACATCCACACCCCAACGCCATGGATAGTGCTAATTTCTCCATGCTAATTGCTTGCCTTGGCAGACACTTCAAACAGGGCACAGAAAAGGGCTAGTAGCCAGATAGGGGCATGAAGCATCCCATGAAGATGCAGGACTTGAGGACTGGCAGGCTGGGAGAGGTGAAAATTCTCCTGACCTGGTGAGGTCCTTACATGGAGCTGCAGGGTGCAGGAAAAAGCTTGGAACAACATCTAGGGTAGTTGGGCAGGCAGCAAGTGTCCCTGTGGTGCACCACAGCAGGGTGAGCAATGGACAGCTGCTGCCACAGGCGGGCAGGAGGCACTCACTGGCCAAAGTACGAGTAAAAGACTTTCCAGTTGGGGTCCAGTTGTTGATCCTGGCCCAAATAGGGCCATTGGTATTTAACAAAGGAGCCAAATTCCCTTTTAAGAATCTGGCTGGGATCTGATTGCAGTGCTTCTCCTACAGCCTTCCTCACAACTGCGAGGAATACGAAGTATGAGTGGCATTTGTGTCTGGTAAACACAAGGGAGAATGGGGCTTGTTCTGGCAGAAGTGACTTCAATTTCTTATTTTGAAGAAATTATTTTGTATTCTTAAGAAAGATGCTTTTAATAACTAACCCTTTGTCAGCAACTCGGAAATCCCAAGTTTAGACCTTCACCAGGCTGATGATCCCATCTGCCAGTCTTTTGCAAAACAGTGGTGATTGTAGGGTCCCAGTTACTTTACAGCAGCAGGAATTTATGGCTTGTGAGTAAAAGATGATGTTTCTGTGTATCCTTTTTAAAATACGGATGCCTGTTATCATAATATGCACACTTCTTTTGTAAGAAATGAGTATTAAAGACCATGTAGTGGGATAAAATCTCTGCCTTTTCTAGGGGCTAAAATCTCATCTTCAAGGAGCATTTTTTATTAGATTCATTCTCTGCTCCCTCCTCCCCCTTTAGCTACTAGTGATACACTGAAGGAGGAGTTGTCGGTATTGTGAGTAGGGAATTAGTTCAGTAAATTGTTTGGTTTGGTTCCAGTCTGACTTCAGTTAAACTACAGAATAACCCTTCAGGTTGTTCTGGTTTGAGTGAAAAAGGTACCTGTTCAGACCAGTTTTTGGTTTGGGTTTGGTTCAACTCTGATCAACACTGATTACAGGTGTTGATTCTGCCTCAATAATGGCCTTATATTGCCTGTTTTTCTGCCTTTTCTAGGCTGGGAGTTGAGGTTTGTAGCGCCTGTCATTGATTTTGCTTCTGACTCTCTGTGTGACCTTTTGAGCAAGTGGCTTTATCGTAGTCTTACTTTCCATGTAAGGGAGGTAGGAAACAATGTTTGGCTTACATGGGTATATGAGAGTTAATTAACATACAGGCATAAAGCATCTCCAGGAGGAAGGTCATAGAGGTGCAAAAATAGATTAATTCACTGCTTCTTTTGTAGCTTTCTGCTTTTCTACTCTTCAAAAAGAAACCTTGTGAAGCTCCTCAGCCTTCGCTGTGATTTAGAGCTGGAACAGGTTGATCGTATACTGAGAACTATCTTTAACCAGCCTCGCACAGCACATACCCAAATCTGTGCTGCAGCCAACTGGCATGATTAA